TATGGTCATCGTAATGGTGGGATTACGTCTGAATCTGAAAGAGGCATCTACAGTATTTTCATAATATCTTTCCGATTTTTTGTATGAACTTTAAACTATTATATCAACAATATAATTAGCTTTGAAAACAAAGCAAACTCTGAAAGTTGAAACGAAATCTGAGGTACTTTATATTGAACAAACTTTTATATTACATTTGTTTTCACCGAATTCTCGATCAAATAACCAACGATAAATACTCAATTGATAGAAGGAAAGAATTAGTTAGAATCTGCTCAACAAATTTTCGACTTCTTTGATTGAAATCGTGCTAGGTTTTGTATGATTTCAGAATGAAGCAAAATTCTATCCCTGACACTGTGAGTGAAAAAATTTTATTAACGAGAACGTTTCGCTTCAATAAACCCTAGTCTTTTTTCTTTCCTGCCTCTTGCTTTCATGTTTATTCTGTCACGTGTGTTTGTATGAGAGGATTGGTTTTTCTTTTATCTTGCTTCTTTTCTTATCTATAACTATTAATCAGTAAAGGAAAAGTCAGTCCCTCTCCTCCTCGTTTCTTTTATATTGCCATGTGTGTATAGAACAGGCGAGTCTTTCATATTCCTTGCATATTCGGCACGTTATATACAGAATCAATGGTAACGAACAAGAAGGTAAACATGTTTGCAGGTATCTAACCATAGGACCATCATGTTTTTTGTAACGACATTCAGATGTATCTACCCGTTCCTAGAAATAGATGTGCTTTATTTTATTATTATTATGAGCTGGAGGAATAGCATCACCGTCAATCTTCCAGATCTGCCATAGCGATGATCGCAACGATCATATAGTGATGTTTACGATGACGTAAACACACGTAAGTGGTGCAATTACGATGACGCACACACATATAAATGTTGCTATTACGATTGTAAACAAATTGTAAATTAAAGTGTTAGTAGGCATAGTATAACTGTCTTACTTTCGGAGGACTGTCAAAGATTCCGAAAATATCCACTTTACCTAACGTTTGTAAGTAAATAGAAGAATTTTTGTAGTTAGCCAAAAGAACACCGAATTTATGCTACATTCTAATAATACATCTCACAGTTACATTTCTCAGCGGAATTTTCGTTTTACTTGGCGAATGTTCAGTGCATTTGACCATCTTCTCGCGTGATATTTCTTAGATAAAAAATGACTACCCTCTTTTCAATAAATTATCATTATTTTTCACAAAAAGGCTTTACTACAGGTTTGAAAAAAAGAAGAATTCTATGAAGATGGATCTGAAGAAATCCATGCGTTTCTCTCCAATAGATCATAATAAATATTTAGCAAGACACTAAACAAATCAAAAGAAAAATCACTTTAAAAAAAAACAGATATGTTTGCTAAAAAAAAGTAATTGTCCATTGTCAATCATATTTATAATGGATTTTCCGATTTGGTTTAAATTTACTCAGCTCTCTGTTATATTCATGTCAATGAATCAGTTCATATGAAAAGAAAATTTCTCTACAAAACAAAAATGTCTTCTGGTAGAAAAAAAGACCTGCTGCTGGAGTATTCATATTTATTTATTCTATCACTAGTAATATACTTGACATTCCAGAAGGTATGTAAAGTGGTCCACATATTCTTAGCGGGCTTTAGATAAAATGAACATTTTTTGACCTTTGATACTGCTGCATTTTTGACAAACAAGACACTATATATTAAAGTATACGACTATATGTCGATGTAAATCATCGTACCCTCCGACAGTGAAGTGAAACAGCAGACATAAGTAAAACTTTACTTCTTAACCATCACAGCTATGCACTTATGAATGACATTCAAATCTATAATCGTACACCGATTGCCTTATATCTACGTCCCTATATGTTTATCCTTTTACATATATCTTTACACCTACATTCTTATGGTTGTTGCTCCATGTTCATATATTGATACCGAGAGTCTAGACCCATAGTCGTTCAAATATACCCTAATACCTATACTTTGGTATCCACGATGTTGGTTCTATATGTCTGCATCTCGAAATTTCGATTAAAACATAAACTGTGCCTTCTTATTATAATAGTCTTATATCTGTAGATCTGTTCTACGAAGTACATTTTAAACCTTTAGAAAGATTCTTGGATTCAATGTCGAGCGGCATGTTTCGAGTAGCAGAAGCAAAAAACAGGGTTCAATCAATTATTATATTGTATTCTGCTGAATTAGAGCATGTTGTTGACATTAACGGATGTTTATGGAGAAAGACGGTAGACAACGAAGAGAGTTTTAGGAAGTCGTGCAATTGACGTATCCGACGCCCTTTAGATATTATTCAATCATCCTTCTTAGTTCCCATATTATTTCGCTACTATTGCCCATTTCCGAGTAAAGTAACCGTGAACATTTTCTTGTATAACTATAAAACAATAAGAGAGAAATAACTTGGGTATTTAGCCCTATCTTGAGTCGCCATTGCTCTATCGTTTTACAAAGTTAATGAAAGATGTCAGTCACTTTTCTTCTAATATACATCACGAGCTTTGAAAATGAGTTTAATCTGTCGTAAAAACAATATGCTTGCTTAACTATAATATAATTGAAAGATAGCCCAGCTTCTCCTCACTCTGTCCACACAAGGTCAAAATTCATAACTCTTTGCGCCCAAAAGATATGAAGATTTTTCTGAAGATCACTCATCACTTTTTTTTAAATGTCATCAGCTAACTAAATATTTCTTTCCATAAGTTCTCAGTCGCCTTCAACTTAGTGACATGATTTATTAATCTTTGGAGTTTTTTTTTCTCGACTAAGAACATCATGAAACACTATGAATTAAACAAATTTTGATGCTAATGAATCAATATCTTAAATTAGTTCGCATCAACCTTTATTTTATTGTATTTCTATAGCAAAAATTTTCTGAATTCAAATCGATCAACGAAAAAAAAAATGTTTGGTTATTCGCGCAAATTTACCATAATAGTTATTGATCATCAGGATCATCTGTACTATAGGTGATATAATCATCGTCGTCATGATCATTTACTTCTTCTTCAATCTCTTCGACATAACTATCAGCCTTTTTAAATATTGCATTATATTGTATGATATGGTTGGTATAACTGGTAGCTTCCGTTGCACCTAAACCATAAAACTGAGGAAGGTTAATGTATCATATCAAGAAGTTGAAGATGACTAAAAACTTGTAGAAGAAAATATTTGTTAGTTGCTCAGGTTTTGAAAAAAGATGGTGAGTAGCTTTCAGAAAAGTCTCTATATCTTTTGAATGCAAGCAGTTATCAATCTCGACCTTGTATAGATCAATAGAGGAAAAGTTAAGCTATCTACTGAGTATATTATGGTTGAGAATATATGTATTTTTCAAAACGAATTAAGCTTATCGTCAAAACTTATGGTATACCCATGGAGCAAAACCATTGAAATTCTCCATCGAGTTTGTAAACGATAGAGTCATGTCGACTCAATATAGTGCTAAACACCCAAGTTATTTCTCTCTTGTTGTTTTATAGTTATACAAAAAATGTCCACGGCTACTTTACTCTGAAATGGACAATAAATTTTTCTTCATCAGAGTTCATACACAAAGTGATATACTTTACCAGGAAAGAAGCCCTTAGGAAAACATATTTACTCTAATATATCCTTTTTTTTTGTAGTTTATACAGATCTCCACGAAATAGCCACGTACAATATTCTAGTTCACTATGGAAATTAAAAAAACAAAGTTGATGAGATTTGAACTTGAGATTGAGAAGGTCACTTTCCAATATGTTTGCTATGGTGTTAGTGATAAATATTAGTTTATCAAAAAACATGCTTGTTTATCCTATATTATCGAACTATGTCTAAGAGAGATGTCAAGTACTTTGAATCTCATTCTTCGATGTCACACTAGGCGATAAGTGAATTTTTCATACTGCTTGACTATTCATGTTTAATCATGCTTCTTTGATTAGTATTTTAATTCGATAACATGAATGAATACTTTCACTGCTATGAAAAATTGCAGTACGGTATTTGATTTTTCAATTCATGCTATCATGATAAACAATATGGAATCTGTTCATTGGATATACCGACATGTTTAGAATTCTATTATTTCGCATGAAACTTAGTTTTAGCGGCTTGATAGAACGCTGATTTCTTTCTAAAACGATGCAAAATCAGTTTCTCTATCGAAAATTCAAGTCATAAACTTCATCATTTTTTTCTAAATTTTAGCAGATAAGTAATAGTAACTATATGTATCATCTTACAGTTTCCCCAAAAGAAAAATGGAATATTGAAACTGTATATTTAAATGTTAGCCGATTAGGTCACTCCATTCCCTGTCGTCAGCATATCATCCGTTGAGCACATCGCTTGAAAAAAACGAGGAAGAAGCAAACAAAAAATGTACTTTACTGTCAATCATTAATCAAACATGCTTTTCATTATATTTGATGGTTTATTCAAGCATACGTACAACATGCAACTTTTCCATCTCTTAGAAATCCTTCATCTGTTCATTTGTTTTAATCAAACTGATTAGAGACAAAATATGATTTCCATGGAAAACCAAAAGTTACGAAAGAAACATTTTGATATTGCATTTCTTTTTTGCTTGTTCGCTTTTTACACATCAATATCACCAATCAACTTGAGAATTATATTCGTTAAATAGACATTTGTAAACAAATGCTATCTCAGTACTGTATTAAAAATGAATCTTCTACATCGTGTATATTTACATTGATCAATATATCATAACTTTGAATCCTGAACTAAGTAGGTACTTATCCATAGATAATAGAGCCATTGATTTCAAAATAATAATATCACGAAAACTTCGTAATATCAAGATAAATCTTACAAAACTTTACAGCATATGCTTTTCTTTCGCTTAATAATTACACGAGATAGTTACAAAAGAATATTCATTCTCTAGACAAGCGAATCAAATAATTATTTCTTTTTTTTCCTCGGTATAGATTGTTGAGAGCAAGTTAGATCTTATGGCTGAACAAATATATTTAACCGATCCGGAAACAGGGGAACGCTTTCGTCTTGGAGGCTGCTTAACCAATGGCAAACCATTGAATATACCAAAATATGGAGCTACACGATGCATTTCAAATATGGAATTACCTCCATCAGTTGATCTAAGACAGTTTATGTCACCCGTTGAGCATCAAGGCAATATCAATTCATGGTTAGTATCTCTTGAGTTTTTTGTTTAGATTCAAAAATATCATTCAGAATCATCCGTCCTTCCTAATGATATTAGCGAGATTCAATAAAAGATTTTATTTCATCCTACAACAGGTATGTGACAGTTCAACTCCAGTTCTTGCGAACTGGTAGCTTTTCTCTACTGTCGTAAGGACCAAGCAACCCATTGTTCGAGTTATATGAGAAAGGAACCTAGATAACCTCTGAATTGGTCCGATCAACATCATGTTATATCCTTACATTAGTAGAGAAAAACTCTACTGGAATCTAATGTGCTGATAGAGAAAGCTCTTAACCAATCGAATTCCAGCTGAGTTTTTCTCTACTATTGTAAGAATAAAATATGATGTTGTTCGGAACAAATCCGGATTAGCTGTGGGTGCCTCTCATATGACCCGAACAATGGAACACTTTGCCTTTAAAATAGTAGAGAATAGCTACCAGATCCAGCTCTTGTGAACTGAAGTTGAGCTGTCACATACTTATCCTACAAGTGCTTTGAATTCATATATACTTATTTGACTGACTTTTGTTTGATACTTTTTTCTTTTAGTGTTGGAAGCGTGCTAGCAGGTAAAGTGTCACTATGAATATTCATCAGCAATTCATAAATAGCATTTTAGCCGCATATGAGTTTTTAAGAATGAAGAATACCAGAAAACATATTAATCTTAGTGGTCTATTTATATACTACAATGCTCGTATTATAGACAAACTTCAGGAGAATCAAATGGTAGATAGGGGTACTTATATTATTAGTGCTATTCAAGGATTAAAAAAATTCGGCTGTTGCAAAGTAGAAACGTACCCATTCGATCCTGCAAATGTCAACCTAAAGCCACCGCCCGAGTGTTATACAGAGGCTGAAAAACGTCGTATCGATGAAGCCATGATGATACGTGCAGAACTAAATGAAATGAAAGGATGTCTAGCTGAGGCGAATCCATTTGCATTTGGTCTTCGACTATTTCCATCGTTTGCACAAGCTGGAAGTAATGGAGGACGTGTAAAAATGCCAAACATACATTCTGAATCACAAAGTGTTGAGCAAGGTTGCCATGCAATGTTGGCAGTGGGATACAGCGATGAATCAGGATGTTTCATTGTTAGAAATACATGGGGTGAAAAGTGGGTAAGTTTGATATGCTGATTCATAGGATTTTTACGAATGTGTATTGACATTCATCAGTTTCTAACATTAGCATAGCGTGAATAATTCATCTAAGATAGTTTAGATTTTCTCATAAAAAAAAAACATCTCAAAATTGAATTCGAAGGACAAGTTCAAGAAGTTTTCTATTTTTGTTCTCTCGAAAGCAAAACTAGACTACATAAATCTTTCTGTTTCATTGTAAATACAAAACAAACAAACATTTTCTTAGAGGTAGAACTGAAAGGAAGGGAAAATTAATCGAATCAATTATTCTATGTTTGGTTTCTTTCATTCGAACATACATGTTGATACGAAACTGAAAAGCGAAACTATTTTTCATCAACACACCTGCATTTGCTCTAACTGTTGATCTGAAAACTGAATGCATTATGTCAGCATCATAAATCATAGTCTTTCAAGCTCAGCTTAATCTCACAAGAAAGACTCTTCAATTCTGCTTCGATCAAAAACATGCATATCAAATGCTTTACATCAAACAATTCTCTATTTTGACATTTATGAGTTTTTCATACTTGTTTACATTGAATCAATTGACTTACGCTAATTGATCAATAATTTCTTAAGTCTTTGTTTGCCCACAAATACTTCCTAAGTCGGTCTAAATATAATAGGGTCATCTCTACTAATACAATTCTTGCATGATTCTTTTATGAACGATACTCTTTTAGAAAAGGTGTCATACTGAACCTTTCAGAGTTCTAGATTTGGATATCATTTTAAGAATTTTTGAAAATCTTAGCAAAATCTTGTTCTATCTCAAATTCTGTTTCTTCTTCCAGAGAAGACTCTACCATGGTGAAAAGTAGTTCATGCAATACAATTAGTCGAATAATGCTGATTCGATTAAGATTTCTTTCTGCAAAGATCGTTACACGAAAGAAATCAATTTAATTTCCTCTCCAACAAGGTCAAGTATATTTCTATATCTAAACCATTATTTCTACGCTTAACTCCTTAATTCTATGTCTAGCCTCTCATTTCTGTATGTGATCCCTTATTTCTATCTTTAATACATTAATTCTATCTCGAACCCTTTCTCTTTGGCTAATCCTTTTTGTCGATTTTAAGACCCTATAGGTTCGTCTAAAGCATTATATCTATGTCTAACGCTCTGAATTTGCATCTAATTTCGTATGTCTATGCCTTATTTCTTAACATATATTGAAGCTGATTTATATATGTTTAATGGTCTCTCTACATGTGTAATACGTACATCTATGTTCACACTAGTAAATCTACAGGAAAATTTGTCTGTTTACTTCTGTCTCTCGTATCTATTCGTTTCTTTCTGTGTTAAATTGAAAATGAACAAATGTCGTTGTCTAAATTAACTTGACAGTGACGAAAATCAAGTGAGGCGAAAAGGAATAATCTCGAATGAGTTGAATCTGTTGGCTGAACAAGCATTCTATCATACGAAAAAGATTTAGCAACTTTTTTATGCCACGAGCTCAAACAATAAACGTTACAAAAGCTATAGCAAGCGCATAAATGCAGTGATTCATGAAATTCAGGCATATTTAGCTGTTTAGCGTGCAGAACCTCTGTTTCTATCGGAAAAATGTTATAGTTTCAAAGGCTTTAAGAGCGACGAATTCGATATTTTTCATATTGCTCCTCCTCAAGCAGTAGCTCTCAAAGGAAAAAAAATGAAATACAGATATACTGATTAAGTATGCTAACATTATGAGAAAGTGAATGATAGATAATTGAACATGAGAATGATTTAAACTGCTCTTGTTTCTGATTGGTTAGCAGCAGTCTTCATTGTGTAGAGTCGGAAAGAAAAATATTTTGATGCGAAACTTCCAAAATTACGAAACTTTTAGTGAGGTTGCATACATTTGTACGATACTCTAGTGGTATAATAAAGTACCGCAAAACATGGAAGACTTAGTTGGGCACCTATTTTTTAAGTGTAGTTCACACGGCTTGCACTAAAACCATCTTTGCAAAAGAAGTTTCACATAAAAACAAGGTGTGCGATAGAACTCGTCTAAGTACTAGGAAACATTTTTCACTCGGAATGGTCCCTTAAATTATTGAGAATCTTTTATGTTTAAGTAATAAAGAAATCGAACTTAAAAAAAAACAGTATCCTAGCTAAAACTTTCAATGGTTCCTTATATACAAATGAGCGATATCATATGTAGAAAAAAAAAAGAAAAGATCAATATTCTGTCATACTCGTATGTTTCATTTGATGGATGAAAGAAAGAGTTTTCATTTGATACATAATTCAAACTAAAAGAGATGCGGGTGAGAGGAAAACATTCTATAAAAACATTGTATAGCATAAATCTATAAAGAACAGATAATATAGTTTGAGTCAGCCATGCGCGTCTAGAACAAAATCTAACATGTACTTCGAACCGCAATCTATTATCGACAACTGAACTGATTTTTGAGAGAACAAGGAACTTAATATTGCGAAAGGGCCTATTTTATTACTTAATGACTCACATCTTTTTGTACTTTTACCATAGAGAACTCAAAAATTCAATATTGAAAAAGAATAATTGCATTATTTCCTTTTTCTATTATTCTATCTAATCAAATTCGTTAAACATTTTTCCAGGAGACTTTTGAACCATGACATATTATTCTTGAGCAGGTACCTTTTTTCTCAGTATACTTCACTTTAGAAAACATTGTATCAATAGAAAAACAAGCATCTTCGATGGTGCTAGTTCGGCATGTAGTCTTCCATATGATAAAAGGAATAATCTTGAGAAAAAATTAACGAAACATTATAATCAAAGATATCAATGTTCTTTCGTGAACAGTGTCTGTTCAATCGACCAAAAAGTTTGAGTACTCTAAAATTCGATTACACAAAAATTCAATGTATTAGTAACAGAAAACGAATTTCAACACGTATAGACGGCACTATCTATGTCAGTTAAATTCCAAAATGTAATCAAAATAAAAAATATGATAGACAATCCAAAGTATTGAACAAACTATCTTATAATATATGTAAATATACTATTTTCGCTGGTTTGTACCGAATTTTTATTAATCAAATAATTTTCAGCTTGATAAAGCATAAGAATCAAATCAACAGTCGTTGAACGAAAATAGTTTCAGAGTATTCGATTGATAAATATTAGTCACGAAGAAAAGATAAGCAAATCAGGCGATTCATATAAAGAAAGAAACAATGAGAATTAAGCTTTCGTAGCTTTCATCAAATTGTAGTACATTAATAATTTAAATAATTGGCAAAGCCATACATGAAATTTGTTTTTGATGAAAACAAGTAGCTTTTGATAGGAGGTAAAAATCTATAGGTCAGTATAATAACAGTACCATGGATTTTGAATAAAAGTCATTTCATCGCAAATAAAGCTGTATTTAAGGACTGACGTTAGTATGAATTGAACCCTATCTGTATAGCTGAATGTATCATGCCTTATACACAAACATATATTCATCTCAATTGGTTCCTTTTAAATACCTTTTTTGAAAATTAATAGTATCATAAACTGTTAATCATTGGAGAAAAAAAAGCTCTTTTCTCATTTCTCGCATAGAATATCTTTACAAATCCAGAGATTATATTCACAAAGCAATTTTTTTTTTACTTTATGTTAGCAGCTGTGTAAGTTAATTACAATGATAAAAAATGACATGAAATCTAATAACATGTACTTCTATCTAAATCTAGACAATATATTGATTTTCTTTTAGGGCGATAAAGGCTATTGTTACATTCCTTATCACTATATGTGTAATCCACAACTTTGTTGTGATTTATATGCCATAAAAATGGTCTATGATGAATTTGTTCATGAGAAAGATACAAGTATTCTGAATCGATATGACTGGAATGTTGATAAAGATAAACGTTATTATATTCCACCAAACTATCCTTATCAATGCTTCGATTATAAGTTTTTTTGGAACTTAAATGATACATTTAACTATTTTACTCAAATATCGCAAAATGGACAAATAGTTCCTTTCATATGGAGATCAATAAAGACAGTAGATAATAACATTGAAAATCATAAAGCAGGATCATCGAAAACTGAACGTCCAACTTCATTTATTCTTTGGATCGACAAAAAAAACCATGAAAACGCTCATATAGAGAAACGGTTGAGAAGTGAAAAAAATGTTAAAATAGACTTCTATGAAGCATTATCAAGAGCAGAAGCTCATATGTTGAAATATAAGCATAAGATCAAATTATCATCAACGTTTCAAATAATTTGTCATGGTTATTATAAAGAGGAAAATAAAAATCCATTGAATATATTATCTTTCTTGAATGATAATAGTTTAAGTCACGTTCCAGTTCTTGTTTTTACTAATGATAAAGTTGATTTACAGACTCGTTTGCAAAGTCAGGCGCCATCGATGGGTATAAATGATTGGAAGCAACGATTATTTATTACAGGCAACCATGAAGAATTAATTAAAAAAATCAAAGAGACAATAGCCGATAAATCCAGTGACAATAAATCATAAGAAACCTGCTGCGATATCTATAATTATACCAAGACGAACTCGAAACAACAAGAACATTATTGAAATCTAATCTTTATGTAATGAAACTCTTATTGTCTTTATATTTTTCTTGTATATTTTTCTCGAATACATTAGGTAGAAAAAACGTATGGTTCAGCACTAAAAACAAATTTGCAATACTCACAATCAGACTAGATCGTGATCCATTGTTTGAGTTGTCTGCTCGACTATGCGTCACTGAATTTCATTTGTTTTTCATTGTTATATTTACTTTTTTGTTAATACTGGAAGTAAATTCTTTGAAACTTATAATAGGTAGAAACTATTTAGATCTACTATCAGTAAAAGTTTCATTGATCTTCCTTTAGCTCGAACTGAGCTATCAAGAAAAATATCGACTGTTACGAAATTTGAAAAAAATAGCGATCTTCACTTTTGCACTTAGAATTAATTTAAAGATGCAATGCGGTTGTGAGTGGTATCTATCTCTGAACGCAACAAATATTGAAAAAGCCTGTTTTACTTGTTGTTATACACGGTGATTTCAAAAATGACACTCTAATAGATATCATCGTCATTAATTATGCTGGTAATAGTATAAGTAGACTCTTCAGATATAGAAACAGCTTTTTTTTCAAACCAAATAACAATGGCAACTGAAATTTTGTATTTCTTTGCATATATTGACGATTTAAATAATGATACTCTACTAGTAGATATTGTCGTCGTTACTGACGGGAGCAATGTGGTAAGTATACTTGTTGAAATATCAAGTAAGGCTATTATAAAGAAAAAGAAGTTTGCATCTTACAGTACTTCTCGTTTAATAAGTGTTGGTGCTGCTGACTTAAACGATGACAATTAACTTGGTCTTATTGTTGCGAATTATGGCACTTATAACAGTGGATTACTTTTTGTGTTGGATAAAGATAACTTTAAAAACAAAGTATATTCGTAATCAACTATAATTCTCATCCGTACGCACTTGTGGTCGTTGATTATAACGGTGACAATCTACTGAATGTTGCAGTTGCTAACTTTGATACGAATGTTAGAGGTTTTATTCTTGGGAATGAGAACGAAATATTTCAGAATCATAGGATATATGAAAATTTTGTTTTCACTCCTTCACTTATTGTCGTTGGGGCCTTGAACAGTGATATACGATGCCACATGAGATTCTATAAGTATGACGTCACTGTATTTCGACTCGGTTTTGACTACCAAAAATTGAAATGTTAAGTTTCACCAGTATTTAGAAATCATTTCCTAAATGATTGTATAGAGTTTCGAGCACCATCATCAAGTTACAGTAGCAAGTTCTATACCGTTAAGGAAAATTTTACTGTCACCTCTTTCTTAATTTCGACCTCATATCCATTCTTCTCGTGCTTAATCAATACGCATTACTGCTGTTCTCTCATTATGATTTTTATCAATGGCAGATATTCTGAACATGAATGGTATGAATAGTTAAATGAACAAATCAAGTGAGCATTTCTCTCTCATGTCTTCTCCTCCATTGAGTTCATAACACCATCATCCAAAAGTTTAGAAAATACCACACTTGTTGACATTTCACAATAACTTACTTGAGCTCAGTCAATGTAACCATGCTCAATGAATCAGACAATTTTGCTGTTGGTTAGAATGTTCAGGTAGATAAAAATGCTAAAGATCCTAAAGGTACGAACATTTGACCAATTGCTGAAAATGACAATACTCTTTTATGCTTCCATTCCAATTTCTTCACGTATAATTTTTTCATTTTTTCATATTGAACTTATTTCTATTGTTTGAAAGCAAGTTTGTTGTTTATTTACTTGGTATCATTAATGAAAAGTGAGTGCCTGAGGGTATACAAACAAATCATTTGTTCATTTTACCTAAGTCTGCGTTGCCGTTTCACAACAGTCAATTTTATTATAGAAAATTATGCACGATACTCATATAAATTGTGAATAATGAACCAAATGTGATATGTATTTCATTTTCTTCCATAAAAGTACATATCGATAATCCAGTTGATCATAATGACCTTACACATTGTCGCATGTTTGTTTTTCTAATTTATTTCTTCATTACTCATTTGACACAAACATACTGGAAAACCTCTCGACGACCGATAATGGACTAGCCTGAAGGAATTTGCTCAAAATCAAACTAACTGTAAATCGATAGAAGTCAAGTCTCTTCCAGCTTGGCCGCAAAAAAACAATGTTCATTGTTGGAATTCAACTGAAACGTTAGTAATTATTCACCTATTTGGGATAAATTACAAACGAACTGACAAGTAAACTTTATGTGGGTGTTCAAAATATTTCAAATAAGCCTGTACGATTTCAACAGATGCCTAAATAACCCTATCAGGAAATTTTCAGCGGCATGACACATTTGATCACAACAAAGGTAAAAGATGTCATGATTATTAATCATAGCCTCCACCAGAAACGAATAGTGGTTTGACTTTGACGTTTATAAGTATTAGAACAGTTGCTGATAACATTAAAACTCGAACAAATGTGCCAATAGATATCTTCAATTAAGATAGAATTTTGAAATTTTCATACGAATCAGATGATTGAATACTTTATACAATGAAGCACAACCAGAGCACTGCTTTAACAATTGACTATAGCTTTAGGCATCTCTTTCCGATTTAATAAAAGCATTCCCTATCATAAAGAACATAACCTCACACTATCAAACATTTCTTTAATAAATACATACTACTCCATAAAGAACAGGGAAGATAACGGATAAAGGCTAAAATAGTATATTTAATTGAAACATGAAAAAAAAAGACATTGACTCATCATGAATAAACGCTTCAAAAGTGTAAAAATGTTCACATAACGACAAAATATAGCAATTATATCAATGAAAAAACGCGTAAAATTAAACTTACTTAATAATCTATAGAAAAAAATGATCCATATCCACATCAACTTTTTAACGTCACAATATAACCGGTGTCCCAAAAGTCCTCTATCAGTTTTGAAATTCATCGTTCTTGTATCCAACACAAGCAAGCTTTTGCAAATTATCACACCTATCAGGTACTACATAACAACAAAGTTTGACGTCTACAACTTTTACTATGAGTGAGATTCAGTAACAAGATTGTCATGTACTAATTTTTTTAATTTTTCTGATCATCATGATTATGATGAAAACTAACTATACACAATGGAAATAAAAGGAAACGCACTATAATAGGTATCGATGTTCAGTGTCATTGATTAACACCTTGATCAATTACTCATTTTAATCATGCTGATATTTTATCCGTCATTCATTAGCATAATAAAATACTGAACACATTACATTCTTTTTTTAATGTTGTTTTCCAAATATATCAGATCACTATTCTTGGTTTGGTAATGTGGCGTTAATTGTCGTCGAGGAAGTTTTAATTTATTGAATTGATTGGAAAACTTGTGGTACTAGTTTGACGACCTTTGGTCCATCTAAACTTTTGGAGTACTTCAAAAGAGAAAGTACAACAGCAAAAGTACTGTCATCGAATATTTGGAAAACAAAAATAAAAATGAATGAATATAATATTTTTGGTGTTTCATTATGTCAATAAATGACGGATAAACTATTAGCACGATTAAAATGAGTTTTTCATCAAGGTATTAATCAATGATGCGATCATGGATTCATATGATTGTGCGCTTCTTTTTATTTCGATTGTTTATAGGTAGTTTTAATAATAAGCAAGATGATCAGCAAAATTCAAAAAAATGAGTACATGACAATCTTATAACTGAATCTCGCTCATAGTAACAGCTATAGTCATCAAAGTTTGCGTCATTATACAGTACTTGATAGCTGAAATAATCTGCCAAAGTTTCAAGATGTTTGACTTTGTGGATCATGAGAACGATGAATTTCAAAAGTGTCAGAGAACTGTTGAGACACTCGTTTTAGTAGTATCAACAGGCAATAGGTAATAATTAGTAGCTGCTGATGACATGCAATTATATTTATCCCCAGGAATTTTCTGACTTGTTTTCAGCCTTCTGATATATTATGTGTTCCTGCGAAACCATTGTTCTTTGTATTGGTCATGCTTTCGAATGTGCCAGTGAAAAAAAATGTTTCCAGCATCACAAAACAAATAGAAGAAGAAAGATCACGTGAAAGAACACGTGCTGGCAAGAGTGCACTTTTTCTTGCGTTCTTTACTATATCGTAGAAAAAAAAGAGTTATCTGTATTGCCTGTTCTCCCTTCATAGAGTAAAAAATACAAATGGTATTATCTGTAACGTCACTTTTATGTGAGACTCCAGCATCACGAATTCCTTTATCGTTTTTATCTGTACGAATCTTTCCGTCTATTTCTAGGGTGAGCTGTTTCAAGAAAGTCTATTTTTGTTTCCATCTTGATTAAGCTAAAAAAATTTGAAGAAAAAACATGTTAAAGGTGCAAAAAAATGTATTTCACGTATCCAATAATATATTATAATTTCGTTTATTACAATCCTAGTAGAACAGAATATTTGCATTAATATTGTTTTATTGTATTACTAAAAATTGTCTGCTAATTAAGATTTATTTTATTGTAGATTTCGTTTCGAACAATTAAAATGAGCACTAGAAACTTCGTTGACTTTGATCAGTCGAAATGTGTTGATAAAAAATGGGCACATCAAAATGTTAGTAAGTATTTCTTAACTATTAATCGTTACGTCATGTAATCAATGCCTATCATAGTGTCATCGTTTACAACATATCCGATTGAATCTGTTCGCGATGAAGTTCAAAAGTCTCCGATTAAACCACCAACAATTTCACCTAAATATGATTCAAATTTAATGTCAACTGTAATCGAATGGCATGTAAGCGTTTTTCTTAGAACAACATTATGTAGAGTTTTTCATAATGAAGCAAAATTATATATGGTTTTTTTCTAGGGCAAAAAAGATGTTCGAGTAAACCAACGACCTCGACCGATAATAACTGATGATACAGATGCAATTATTCATGTAAC